TGGACCAACTGCTGATGGTCCCAGGGATCTCCCTCCCCTCTTTTCCTACAGCATTTTGCTCTGAACTGGATTAAAAATAAAGGTTTTGATAGAAAATGCTGAGGGAGGAGGGCTCAGCCCCCACTGCGCAGGGCCGGATGGGGTTAAAACTTTGTGGCCACCTGCAAACTTGCAGGAAACATCATTTCCTCCTTCTGCAAAAGCTGGGCTGCCCCACAGGCACAGGAAGGTTTCGGGGGGCTCGGTTTTCCAGGGGTCACAGTGATGGGGATGTCCTGAGGCTGCTGGTACAAGGTGAGTGTCCCTGCATGGGGCTGGAGGTGCCTGGTTTGGTTCCCCGGGGCAAAATTTGAGTTTATGGGGCTCCAATCCAGCAGAGGGGTTGGAAACCCCGTAGCCTTTCTTGCCACACTCCACATTTGGGGTTTTGGCATCCGGCTGCTGGCGGAAACCCCATGTGGGGTGAGGGGAGAGCTCATGCTTTGGGATCATCAGGAGAATTTGTGTGTCAGGTCTCTGCTGTGACCCTACACCCAGAGGGCTCTTTGGGGTGCTCCTGCTGGTGGTCCCCAGGGTGTGGCTGCCCAGCTGGGGTGACATCTACAGGGTGCCACCATGGGCTGGGTGTTCCTAGGGAGGGGGACAAACCTTTTGGGGTGGCCCTGAGGGACTCCTTCCCCACAAGGACCTTAGTGCTGGCAGAGATGTGGCAGCTCCAGCTTCAGAGTGGGATGCACAGTGGGGGGGTCTGATCCGAGGGTGTCTCCCCTGTCATCAGGGGTTACTCTTGTACCCAGGATTTGGGGGACAGGGAAGAGCCCCCCAATGTGGGGGACAAACCTTTTGGGGTGGCCCTGAGGGGCTCCTTCCCCACAAGGACCTCAGTGCTGGCAGAGACATGGCAGCTCCAGCTTCAGGGTGGGATGCGGTCTGATTCGAGGTGTTCCCCCCATCATCGGGGTTTGCTCTTGTCCCCGGGATTTGGGGGACAGGGAAGACCTTCCCAAAGTGGGGGACATTTAGGGGTGGCCCTGAGGGGCTCCTTCCCCACAAGGACCTCAGTGCTGGCAGAGATGTGGCAGCTCCAGCTTCGGGGTGGGATGCAGAGTTGGGGGGATCTGATCCGAGGTGTCCCCCCCCATCATTTATAAGGAGCACCCCCCGAGGGTTGCTCTTGTCCCGGGATTTGGGGGACAGGGAAGACACCTCAAGCAGAGCCCACCATGTCCCGCTGAGCATCCCCCCCTCTCCCCCGGCCCCCCCCCAGGACGCGGCGGCGATGCTGTGACCTACATTCGCGACAAGGAGGTCCCCAGCCCGCCGCCACCGCCGCCGGGCCATGAAGCGACACAAGTGAGGGGCCATGGCCAGCCCGGCACCATGGCTGCGCTGGACGCAAACAGAGCTGACGCGCTGGCACGGCAAAGAGGAGGAGGAGGAGGAGGAGGAGGGGGAAGAAGACGACTTTGAAAGGCGGATGGACGAGGATGGGGTCATCGGCCTGGGGGAGGGCGCCAGGAGCCCCCCGTGGGGT